TGACGATGGGAGACGCGACTTCAGGATTTAGTCGCCCTCCCTTATCCCAATTTATCCTTTTATTAAAAGTATCGATGTGTTTTTGCGTCAGTGTGTATGTGGACGCGCGCTCGCTCGAGTTGACGAGGATATGCTATTTAATTTTGAGTGGAGAGAAACTCTCCTTTTACCTCCAAACAAATGTAATTATCAAGGTATCGAAGGATCGTTTATATTGTTACGTTGTATACTAATTTATCCACTAAATTGTCGTTCGTACGTGCATGCGTGCGCGCACGCGCGTTATATGTGTACTTATATCGATAAATAAAAAATATCCATGTATTTTCTAATTTAGACGGGGATGTGGCTTTTTATCAGAGGCCTTAAATATTTTTATTGACAGGCAAAAAATTTTTATGCAAAAATTGAAGCTGAAAAATGTAGTTTATAATGCTGACGTGTTTATAACTTTTTCTTTTTACTATAAGCTATTGTTATTTTATTATATTGTTATTCTGTTCTATCATAAAGGAACATTCTCATTTCATTCCCTAAAAAACATCATTTATTTATATTGGAATTGAAAAATCGATGACCGGCACACCCATCTTTGAGGACGGATGGCTCACCCCTTTCAATCCTTTTTACGCAGTCTGCTATAACATATTTCAAAGCGAATCAAATCCGCACTGGATACCTGGAATGTCCATCTTGTTAGTAAATCATAAATATCTAGGAATTAATAATACGAAGCTACTAGTCGAAAATCTCCGCATTTGTTTATTGATAATTTATGCTCCTATATATATATATATATATATAGATATATGAATGTATTAATAATTGAAGTTGGCGGGAGGAAAAAAAAGTTCTTAGCTCGCATTAAATCTGGATGATGGGAGAAAAATTATGAAAAGACTATCTGCTGTGATTTTTACGTTTATTTAAATTAAATTATTCGCATAAAACAGGAGTTATAAATAACGTTATAAATTTCACAGAGAAATATGTATTTTTCATTTATTCACTTTAAAATTAAAAATAAAGCTCGAAGTTTATATGACGTAACGATCTTATAAAAATATTGTTCAAATCGAGGATACACCTTGATGATTTGTTCAGAGAATCTTTATTTAAACCGAATACGTAATATGGAATGACTGTTATCACTATTCAATATGCAATTTTTTATCACATTGCATTATCTTCATTTCGTAAATCAAACAGTATTATTTTCAGTTATAAATTATATTATTGTACAATTACATAATATACATATTTTACTAATGAGTTTAATAAATATTTTTTTTTTGTTTTTTTTTTTTTGAATAAATTTTCTTCGTTTCTCATGGTATTTCATTTGTGCATTCATATATAATTATTTATTATAAATATAATAATTCATAATGTTGGACTGATTAAAGAGTCATGTATTGTGCATGTATTATTTATAAAATGATTTAAATTTTATTTCAAGCATCAATCCGTAAATTAAAATATGTCGAATGAATTAAATTATTTATCAATTATAATTTACTACATTATAAATATTACAAAGTACCGAGGTTTCTCCTTTCTTTCTCTATCTAAATCCTTGTTTCCCTCTCCCGCCCCCGATTCCTATTCTCGTGCACATACTTGCCTGTGAATTTTTCATATATTTTTGAAAAATTTGTAATGGACGTATTAAAAATATATAATAAATTTCTTAATCCTGAATGTAAATTAATTATTCTCTTGTTTATGTAAAAAAATCATAATACATTCACGAATTTAAAATGTTTTTTCATATTAATATAAATTAAAAATTTTATTATGCTTTTTTATATAATAAATAATAAAAATAATTCATACTCGGTACTCGTGAATGTGTTTCGTAATTTCGTAATTTTAATTTTTATTTCTTCTTTTTAAAACAATTTTATCATTTCAATTTTACATATTATATTATTTTTCATGAGATATTCGTTAGAACATTGATACATCTATATAGATGTAGATTTCCGTACATTTTGAAAAATATGAGCTTTGCCACACTTTTACTATTAAAATACTGTACATAATTGTTACATTACTGTTGGCTAATTTACAGAAATCTGTAAGAAATTACTGAAATAATACCGATGAAATTACATTTCTAATAAAACCATTTAAAAGGTTAAAAGCAAATGTAATTGGAAAAGAGAACGATTACAATATTTGAGTTCATTATACAATTCGGTAGTTATATAAAAAAAAATTAATTTTACATATACGATTAACTAATCTTATATTTTTACGAATATTTAATAAGTGAAATCATAAAGTCTCTCTTATGTTGTAAAATCATATAACGTAAAAAGCATAAGAAATATCCGACCATTTACCAATAGATAATTAAATTCATTAGCTCGTGCGCTCGAGTTCCCTTAAATTCCGTAAAATACGCGCGCACACAGGCGAACGAGTATTCTCTTATACGTTTATGTACGAAAACGTTCTGGAATTGTAGTGTGCATATTATGTAGGGTTGGCTTACGAAACTAAGATTTTCTCAATTAAGGTATTTTTCTCAGTGAAAACAGATGAAAGATTTATATCTCGATTACGAGTTCATCATTTCAGAAATTCTATGCAGTCGTTGGTATTTCGTATTTTATAAATTGTATAAGTTTTATAAACATCTTTACCTCATCTCCATAAAAATATGTATTTGTATACTCGTTTTCCGATGCTTTCTATCTTCATTTAAACGGTGCGTAAAATATTACCGAGAAACACTTTAAAAAACAGCGGTGAATGAAAATTACTTCGGTTTGCCAGTCTCCCTTTCTCCGCTACTCCGTCCGTCTTCATTCTCTCTCTCTCTCTCTCTCTCTCTCTCTCTCTCTCGTTTCAATTTCAAGTATAAGCAAATAAGCGAGATTGAAGTAACGACGCGCTACGATGATTACCGGCTAAGACTTAATTATCCATAAAACGAAGCGAAATTAGCGAGCGAACTATGTGCTACACGTGCAGGTGCAAAAGCTCGTCACGATCTAAATAGAGATGGCGAGAGAGAATTAGCGGTTTCTGCAAACGCAAGCACTTTGCAAAAAGAGTATATTTACGAAATATTCGTATCTTCTCTCCCTCTCACCCTTCCAACAAAAAAAGAAATAAAAATAAAAAAAATAGACCCCTCCACCATTTCCTCATCACCCCTCCAATTCCGCTCACATTCTCATTTCATTCTGTTAGTGGAGAAATTACACCAAACTTATTATAAACCCATTGAAATAGACAACGAATTTCCCAAGCTCCTCTTGTAAGCCAAAGTTGCTCGCATTAGTTATAATCCAACTACCAGCCCCTTACGACATTGATAAATAACAGTGTTGCCGCTCGGATGGTCGAGTCTCGAAATAATACTTGCCTCTGAAGAAGTGTCAGCATCCAAGTTCTCTCTCTCTCTCTCTCTCTCTCTCTCTCTCTCTCTCTCTATCTCTCTTTATGATGCAGTATAAAATTCATCTGTGGTGCCATTTACGAGGCCTGACTCACTCGGAAGATTTTTTATTCAAAGCACATAAAAGACGTGAGCCAGGGAAAATTTCGAGTTCCTCGGGGATTTTTATAGCGCTGGATAATTAAGCTGCTTAGATAGAGAAGCGACATCTACCTCCACAAATCGAACGAAAATTATAATTGCCCGATCTGCCGCTTGCAAATATCTACCGTCCCAATCACAGTACGAATCGTTAAGCAACCGTGACAGTTTCATAAAGCTAGCGGAGTCCGTGACTCGTCGTTGTACTCTACCGTTTATTCGAAAGAACATCGTCGCCGCCTCGCAATGCACCCTCGATCCACCCCACCCCAGGATCAGGAGACTTTCCCAGTCAGTGTCGTCTCTTACCTTACTTCTATAATCTCTCGCCTATCGATGTTTTTCCCTTGCCCCCGCGGGAATCGATGCAGAGGTCGATACGACACGATTAGCCGCAATCGCGGGATTGCGTCATGTATGCTGCATTAGAAATTTTCGGAAGCGGCGCATGGAAGGTCTATACGCGTAATAGAATTTCCGCTCGCTTGGTTCGATTTTTTCAAAGTATTTCGTCGTGGCAAACCGTGCGGGGTCGGGGAGCACGGCGGGGGGAGGAGGGAGCCGTTGACAACGACAACGAAATGCCTGACTGATCCAAAGTCCCGGATCCCCGTTGCCCGTTGCATCGGAGTACGACATGCCGTTATTAATTCCCAACCGGTGATTTCGTTCTACGATAAGCAGAATACCCGCCCCCTTCCCCCGTTTGTGCGGCCGAATTTTTACAAAGGGAACATTCTCCAATAAATGAATTTGATAAATTCCGGCTGCCGGGAGCGTTAGTACGAGCGAGCCGCGATTCTTTGATAATTGTCCCGAGTTTGCAAAAAATCCCGTATGTGTGATCGTAAGGAGCTTTTAATAAATATTAACCCCATAACTTTACGGTGCGGGGATTTACGTCATCGAACGGGCACATCAAAAGAGCCCGCTTTTGTGCGTTTAAACGCTTTAACTTTGACAGCTGAAACTTAAATAGTAACACTCGGAAGCGAGTTTATTGCCCCCAAGGAAATAAGCTTTGTTAGGCGCAAACTTCGTTCGTTAGTGAAAGTTTCGCCAGATGAGAGAGAGAGAGAGAGAGAGAGAGAGTGAGAGAGAGAGAGATGAGATGAGATGAGATGAGAATTAACGATAAAAATACAACGGAGAATTATTCAAGCCTAGGCGAGAGTCGTGTCATTTTTGTTGAAGATAGTAGCGCGAGAATTTGCTAAGCACGACTATGGCAAACTTGAGCTTTCGCCCGCGCCTTGGAGCGGGGATGGGGACCCGCGGCCTCCACTCCCACCGATCATCAACGAATAAACGTATAGAAAAAGTGCCGGAATGATAATGTCTCTCTTTGTTGTGTGGCACAGTGCGGTGGTAAGAGCGGCGGCGGCTCGCGGTGCGTCACCGTCGTCGTCCACGTCCATTCCGCCCCATCCTCATCGAGACCAGTGCAATGCCCGCTACCAAGGAGATGAACTTGCGCGGGCTTCTCACTGGCTGGTGCCTGCTAACGGCGCTCACCGAGTCCTACCAGGTGCACAAGAACAATGGCGTGGAGGACGGCTCGAAATTAATTCGCATCGTCGGCGACGTCATTTTCGGCGGCATATTTCCCATGCACGAGCAGGTATGTGAGACACCGGACAGAGACCCCAGCATCCATTGATCCGGCATGCCGCCCGACCTTAACTTCCCGTCGCCGACCCCCTCGCACGTGCGCAACACGACATCTATTAGCGAGTGCGCGCGTACTTGGTTACGCGTCGACCCCTCCTTATTAGAAATTCAAGTAGCTCGCGCGCTGATCCGAGACAGTTTCCAGCTGAAACGACTCGAGTAATTTGCCCAAATGACCGCGAGCTCCTAGAATTTCTAGTGGATGGACGCTCACGATAAATAGCAATACTCGGAGCTTGGCAAACATTGGGCTTCCGTCAGCGGAAGTGGTCGAGCTGGGAAGACCCGAGCTTTTCTAACCTAATGGCCGCCGTGATTCTCGAGGATTAGAGCTCAATTTTTATATCTCCGTGGCTTTACTTAAAAGTTACTAAGGCTATTCAATATCGAGACAAACGCTACCCCCCCCCCCGGAGTTTTTTTTACACTACTATTATCATGCCCTATTATTATTATTAATCCACGTACCGCAGCACTGGCATAAGCCACTCGGGTCCGTCAGCTCATTAACGTGCGAAGTTTTCAAACGTAGAGAATCCCCTCGCTTTATTGGGTTTATTTACATAAGGCGGCCACATCGTGTAAACATCGTAGAAGGAAATAAAACATCGCGATTGAAACTCATAGCTATGCGTACGTATCGTGCATTTAATTACGACATTGCAAACAAATAAACGAGCGAGTGCTTAGCGTCGTCGTGAGCTGTTTGCCTCCCCCTATGTGTGACCTTTCCAAGCATCATGTCGCTTGCCGCTTAGACAATGAACATTCGTACTTTATGTAATGTGCGTTAACGTGGCTCTAAAAATCAAACGATCCATCCGCTTCTGGCGAGTCGGCATTATTAAAAAGTTCTAAAGCGAACCGTCGATGGCTGCGTATTATGAAAGGTAGGCAGAAAATACGTTCGCTGTACTACCTAATTGATTGATGTAACGTTGAATGGAAAATTAAACGTGAACTAATAATATACGCCCACATGCATGAAAATATAAGTAAATAACGGGTATGAGAGAACGATGGCTGCCGATGATGTTAATTTAAAACAAACTTAAGCTTTCCCATTATCATTAAGGCATTTCATTTTGGCTTGGAAAAAATTAATTAAACACTCGTAGAGGGAAAATTTTCCGATCAAACTTTTATATCGTCCGGATGCGCGGCAAAGAATTTCGATGAAAAACGATTTTAACGCAGCCGAGGCGTAAAAACTGTTCAAATCTCCTTTAAGAATAAAAACTTGATCAAGTTTTAAAGAGAAAGAGATTAGGGGGCTAAACGATTTTCACCTTCGCGACGACATACGTAGCGCGCATCATCGTTTCAATACGGAAAAGCGGGTTTGATGTAAGGCGGGAATTTTCTGGCCGCTCGAGACAACCCAAAAGTCGAATAAATGTTGGAAGAATGCTCGCGAGGCGAGAAAAAAATATCCAAGTACGCATGACGATACAAGTACACTAAGGCAGCCACGTTAAGAGTACTTTAATCGATTTCTTTTTTGTTTTTTTTGTTTTTTTTTGTTTTTTTGTTTTCACTTTCCTGCCAGATAAAGGGGTAAAGTTTTCTTTTAATTAAGAGGTCCTTCCGCGCTCCTCAATGATGAAATAGATTTTATAGATTTTTTTTCGGAAAGCTGCAATTTGCTCTAGCCTGTATTTTTTAATTAAAAGCCAGGGTTCGAACCCTCCAACCCCAACCCCCACCACTCCCTCCCCGAGTCGCTATCAGCTCGGCGATAGTATTTATTCTGCAATTAAAGCAAAAATGGAAACAAGCCGAAGGGAGGAGTGGCCGGCTATAAATAAAGATAATTATCAGACACCGAGCTTGCCACTTGCCGGGGAGGGAAGTCGGGCCCCCGATTCACGATGCCACTGCCACGTCCGGGAGGGCGCGGGAAACGACGAATACGTCGGTCCGGGTATGCGTGCAATGGATTTGTCGACAGGTGTCCGGGCCGATTGGTCAGCCGCCTTGCGGCGCCGTCAAGGAGGAGAAAGGCGTCCAGCGGCTAGAGGCGATGCTCTACGCCCTCGACCAGATAAACGTGGACGCGCAGCTGCTGCCCAACACTACCCTTGGCGCTCTAATACTCGACTCCTGCAGTAGCGATACCTACGCCCTCGATCAGAGCATGGAGTTCGTCAGGTCTTACATGAATCAGGTGAGCGAGCATCTTTTCTCTATCCCCGGATCATCCCCTTTAAGAGCGCCACGAGCTCACCCCGGCCGCCCCTTGCTATCGCGCCGTCGGCTGCGTCCCCCCACTTCGCCGACCACCTCATCAGCCTCCTTCCAGCGGCGACCTCTCTCCCCCTCTCAACCACCGTAACCCGCCCAACCATTTTTTCATGGCCCTCCGCTTTGGCCAGACACGCGACTTTTCTCTTTAATGAACCCAGCGCTACAGTAGCACTCGAGAGTTGGCGAGGGAAAACGACTCGAATAGTTTCGCATCATCTCCCTCCACACAGCTTCTACTCCATCGCAGTCGACGACAGCGACGACCGCCACACCCCCTCACCCCCTCGCCCATCCACCCCTATCGCTCAATCCCAACCATCCCACCGCTTCTCAAACACTTCGCCATCCAACTCCGTGAACTTCTTTTACTTTCGATTTTTTTTAAATCACTTCCCCCTAGCCTGTTATTACTACCCATTCGCGAGCTCCGCTATTCTCTCACTTACTTTTTCTATTTTTTCTTAATCTCTCTCTCTCTCTCTCTCTCTCTCTCTCTTGCTCTCGCCCTCGCTCTCTTACACATTACATGCGTCGCGTCACTTGGACATCTTATATTCGAGAGGTCGTTGTCGAGTCGTTTTTGACGCTTTCGCCGACTGCCAGTGGCGTTAAGGTACCTTCAAAATTTCGTTAAAATAGCAAATTTCCGTTTTGAATGAGAGAAGACGTTTTCTCGTAACCAGTTTAGTCGTCCAGGTCCTCAATTTTCGAAATCTTATTTTCTAATTGTCAAATTGACGATTAGTTTTTGCAAAATATATATACCTCGCCGATGCAGCTTTATAGTTAATAAGAGGACTTATCTCGGGAAAGGAAGCCCTCAGCTGGGAAATTTTATTTCGAGAAACGCATCCCTCGCAAGCTCGAACTTTAATAAAATCTTCGTCGTTGGTTGCAAGCGTCGATATATCGTGTAATATAACGTGTAAATGCTTTCAAAGCATATCGCCCGATCGACACTGCCAATTTACGGGGCGATTGCAAAAATTAAAAGGAAAGTAATATTTTGCTTTCCATCCCCCCCCCCCTCAAAGTCACATTATTATTATTTTACGCAAAATTTATCCATCTTTGTCCCTTGCGCTTTTCTCCCTTGCATAAGTCGCTCAATTATCAATAATCATCCATTAGTTTAGCAAAATAGTTTAATCCTCTATCCAAATTTTCCGATTTTTTTCTTCAAACTGCCGATCATAGAAGCATGAACGGCTCGAGTAATTCATTTTAAAGCCAAGTGAACAAGCCAGGAATAGAAATACGCGACGTAATTTTAAAAAGAAGTCGGCAGATTTCTCGGCAATAAACATGTTTGCCAGTTTTTGCGCTTAAAAGTGTTAACGGTACACGGGATATCAGTATTAATGTCCTGTCTACACTTCGGCTCTAAGTTTTATCGTCCTATAACAAATACTCCATTTACGGAGATAAACTTTCCACAGTACGTAAAGTTGAAGGGCAATTGGAAAAGAGGGCGGAAATATAAAAAGCGCGGAACATCGATATTCCCAATCGAGAAATCGCAAAGGTTATTAAGCTCCCATGCGAGCGAGCGCTCCTCCGACACCCTTCACTCCCGTGCTTCACCGCCCCGCGCCGTCCCTCGCGAGAGTAAATATAAAACGAGCGGAGGGATTTTTATTCGTGCCTCGTGAGCGCAATAGCAAAGCGCGCGTGCCAAGAAACCTTAGGATGGGTTCGCAGGTGTAGCGGGAGTCATGCCCGGGCCCGCGCTGTCGATTGAAATATATTTTGTGGCGCTGCACGATGCATGCCAAAGCCCTATGGGGAATAAAGTCGAGCCGCCAAAGGATTCCGCTCTGATATTTTTGCGGCCGTTCGGCCACCGTGCATCCGTGCGTTCGCCCCCCGGACAGTTTACGCTCTCGAGGAAATCCTCGACGGGATCGCACCGACACGACATTGCACTTTCTGATTGATCGATCCAGGCCGCCCGAGTCCTTTCGCCTCTCCCCGAGCCATTCCAAGCCGCCCTACTCCGCCCAAGGTTCTCTCGCCCGGCTCATTAGGCCGGCTTCAACGACTCTTCCCCCCCCCCCCCCATTCGGTTATTCCTTCCTCATACATACGTGAATTCGATCAATTAGGTCGCCGATATTGGATCGCGTTTCGTATTACTTTGTCACTGTAATTGCCTCGGTAATCACGGCTGTTTTATTTTGCAGGCGACTTCCTCGCTGCCGGGAAGAATCCCCTGCCGATTTACCGTTATTATCGTCCTGCCACGCGACAGCAATGTAACCAGAGTTACGAGTCCGAGTAATTGCACACATTGTAATAACTAATGATTTTCCGTGATGCGAAATGCGCTCTTTCTTTATGTGAAACTCATCGATCGTTGTAAGAGCTTGGCATACAATATATCAATAATAATAATAATAATAATAATAATAATAATAATAAGAAGAAGAAGAAGAAGAAGAAGAAGAAGAAGAAGAAGAGGAAGAAGAAGAAGAATAGCTTTCGTCTTGGCGCGCTCGATAAAGAAATCGTTCATTTTCAATTTGGGGCTTACTTCGGAAACTGTGTAAAATCATCGATTTATTTATGAAGAAGAAGTAAGTTAATCCGTGCAGAAAATTTTTTCTTTCTTCTTTCTTTTCCCATCCAAAATTCCTATTCATTAGTGAGCCGATAAAATAGTCCAACGTTCAAATCGAGATTCGTACAGGAGCTTGAATAGAGTCATTCGAGATGAGATGGATATCTTTAATCACTCTCACATGACCTAACTCCCTTGCTTATAAATGTTTTTCAATAAATTAATTAGTTAATCATACTATTAATTAAATAAATCGATACACAAAATCTTCACTATGCGAGATGAATATTTTAAATGTAATTTTTCGTTCGTTAATATGTTTCGTAGGCAAGTGTCGAGACGATAGAAAAAAAAAGATTTTACTTGATAATGGCGCCGCCAATAATTTGTCTTAAAATACGGAAAATAAATGAAGGGGCGTATCAATTCTACAAAGTGACTTTTGATTTTCGACAATTCGAATATCCCGTCTCTTTAAATTGCGAGGAAATGAAAGAGTCGAAGATTTGAAGCATTTCGTCGCACTGGACACTGAGCTCATTCAAATCATGAAAAAGTTTTCACCGATACTCGTCGGCAATCCACATTGGAACGAATGGCAAATAAAATTGATTATTACGAGCTTTAAGATATACAATACCCGTCCTTGCTCGCCCACCCGGCCCCCACACCACCTAACGCAAAGCCCAACCGAATGTTTGAGCTTTCATGCGCAACAGCTTTGAAATAACACACCCACTCGCTATACCGAAGGCCAAAGGAACTAAATAAATAAAGGGAATGACGTAAAAGTTACGGTAATTGTGGCAATTAATGGAAGTTCGTTTTCCAAAGGACAATGCATTGTTTATAATGACACTGATGGCTGTTTGTTATCTTACGCCTGACTCTCGAGGCTCCAACTCTTACTCGCCCATTCGCAATGAACCTTTGCATTTTAACTCGCATCTCCCCTGCCCACCCACTCCCAAAATCCGCCCACTCTCACTTCTCTCGACCCTTTCTTCGTTCTTCGTCCCGCTTCATACCGCCACATCACAACTGAATATTATTTTCCAAAGTTTCCGCGCGCGCACTTTCTTAACCCGTGGCCCGTCCGCCTCCGATATTTCTGCCTCAGCACTAATTGACTCAGTTTCATTACTCGGCCGGGACTTTGCCCGAATTGCATGCACACCCACGGGGAAAACGTATCCGACAGCTGTCGAAGCTAAGCACTGGAGCGAGGAATTTTAAGATGAGGCATCTCGTACTTTCAGGACATAACGGAATACAAATGCGAGAACGGCAAGTCGCCGATCTACGATCCACACAAGCCGGTGACAGGTGTCATTGGCGCATCCTTCAGTGGCGTATCCATTATGGTGGCCAACATCCTGCGGCTTTTCAAGGTAAGCATTTACGATTCGCTTCTCAGCATAGCAACGCATCATTCCCGCGATACACGAGCGAATTTCCTCAACAATCCCTTTCTTACCTTCGCCTGCTCTTTTCACAATTCAAATTACAAATTATAATATCCTTTCTCACGCTCAATTATCCCGACATCAATCACGGCTTTCTTTCTAGCGCGAATTTTCACAATCTTGCATTCAACTATTTCTTAATATCTCAACAAAGTGAGTTGTAAAGTCGTTGGAAATAGGTCGTTAAATTTTAGAGAAATACTTACAGTGCTTTAAAAGAAGTTTGAGCCGTAAAATACTTTCTCATATTACTTACATGGATTCTTGTTCACTGCGCTTTTAAAAGTAAAATCATAAAGTGAATAAAGCGTATCAAAAATCAAGAATCAACAATTTTATAACTCTCGTCATGAAATACATATCGATTTGATTAGCAAAATTAAATTATGTCGCACTTAAACATAATATGAGACTTGGTAAAGGTTTGTTAATCGTCCGAATGATCGATAAATACGAATGAAAGTAAGAGCTCTTTTCCATACGGGAAATAAAAAATTAAAAAACTAGTAATTTCAGATTTCAACAAAACCCAAAATTTTTTCTTTTTTTCTTTTTTTTTTTTTTTTTTTACTTTGTATACAGAAATATAATTATTATGTAATGCTTTCGAATATAGAACGCATAATAAATTAATTATACGTACGTCTGGTTTTGCTTTCAAGTTTATCTCAAAGTGAGCTCTTTGAATAGAGCATACAGTATGATTTTTACACAATTTAATTGCATTTACGACAGATATCTACCATTTTCTATGTTACTCTCGAGGTATAAAACTCAAAATACGCGAATTAATTCGTAAATCATATGATTGCAAAGTTTTCTGCGAGTAGCACATTTTTACCCAATCTTAAGGAAGTCTGAAATACATCCAAACAATGCTTAAACTATTTTATAAAAACCATCGGACACAAGTATTCCAATGCTATTTAATAATCTTCTTTTTAACTGCAAAATTACGCGCAATTCAAATAATGACGCATATTCTATTACTTTAAAAGATAAAATACTTGGATCTTGCAAAAATAAAGGCGTTTATCAATGTTACAAAGTTAGGAGATTCGCAAAACGAGACTCGACAATTTCCAGCCATTTGTGCTCTTGTGCAATAAAATATATAAAGATGACATTACGATAAATGTAAACCTTCTACTCCAATGTAAACAATAAAAACAATCCCGACAACCAGCCATTGCATTTTAAAATAAGTTATTTTAATTTTTCCATAAAAGTAGATAAGATGCTTAAACTAGTCACGCATAACTTGAACGGTTAAGGGCAGCTGTACATATTACAAATTTACGAACGCCAGATGAATGGAAAGAAATAGGAGAGAGCGAGAGAGGGAATCTTTGCAGATTCGGTAGGCTTGTAGGTGATCTCGTTGGCCTCAAGTTCTACGTATGGGACTCGACAGTTGCTTAACTCCACATTTAGAGTAACAAGTCGTTAAAGCCGTAAGAAAATGGAGCGGATCACCTTATCCCTTTATTATTGGTGAAATCCAAGAATCCGTAGCCATCCCTTGTGCACCGCACCTAAAGTCAGCGAACATTCGAGCGTCCTAAAGGAACTTTCAACAGCCATTCCACGTACATCAATGTTTATTATCCCATCTGCATAGGCGTACGCGCGCACGCACGAACGACAACTATGACCGAATACCACAGCTGAGCGCATAATAATAATAATAATAATAATAATAATAATAATAATAATAAGAATAATAATAATAATAATAATAATAATAATAATAAGAATAATAATACGGTCAGTACTATCTCGATCATCCCCGGCCTCCTCAATGTCAAATACATAATCAAAGTCCTGAATAATACATAAATTGAGAAGGGATGTATCCTCGCCTCATTGATACTGAATCAGCCACTTTTGTAAATTCTATTATAAAGGTCCAATGGAGCTATATAAGCTATTAGAGTATCTTTGTAAATCTTACGAAACTCGGCTTTAATATATTCCATTAAACTTCGAGTTATTGCAGTAGTTTCTGTAGAATGTACAAGAGTTTTTAACTTTTCTATAACTTCTATTTCCCCCGCACGATCCAATATTTTTCTTATCATACAATTTAAATAAACTCAGCCACGGATAATTTACGCAATTAAAATGCAATTTTTATTAGTATAATTATATCCAGAGTCAAACTTGTAATTAACAAGGATAATAATGTCCTTTATTTTATGGAGAGAAAGAAAAAAAAACGGAAATGATTAAAGAACTTCCATGTTTGACTTGCAGGCTTGGGAATACCTTAAGTTTTTGCAGAGCTTCGTAAATTACTTGTCGCTTCATTAACTGTTTCTTTGTAAACAAAAATTCTTTCAAGTTTTTGTTTTTTGTTTTTTGTTTTTTATTTTTTGTTTTGTTACTTACGTTCCTTTTAAAGCTATGCTCATTCATTCGGTATGTGTAATATTGTTAAACACGCGAGTGATAAATGGTAGGAATTATTTATGAAGCCATATGGTGTAATAGAGTGCGTACTTACATGAGATGTAATTAGTGATAGCATTCACTTAATGCCACATGTCAAATTACGTTATAATAATTAATCGCGTATAATCCATATTTGTCAATTATCATGCTACTGTAAACTTAAACAGATGTCCATTAGGATTGCAAATAACATTTCTAAACAACGCTGTAATGGATTGGTATAATAATAGAATTTTAAATTACACTGACATTATAAATATAAATTTAAATTAACAATAAATTAAGATACATTTGATAAGTTTTTTTGTGCAACCGCGCTCACGAATTTCGTTATTTTACTTTTACGAAAGGCCAATTTTAACGTAATGAAAGATATTTGATTAAAAAGTGCATTAAACTTGCTGGAAATTCTCTCTGGATATACTCAAAATAAATATTATATAATAATGTTGTAGTTGGATTTACGAATTGGAGAAAATTTTATGCATTTATGAATTAATTCATTGTATTTGTTTAGAATCGCCAAGTTTATTGTCACATTGAAAAGTCTAGACAGTATTTAAGAGTATACGATTAGAGCAAGCAAATATTAAATAGCCAGTGAAAGGCCTAATCAATGTATTATTTAGAAATTTTCTTTACAAATACCGGTAATTAAAAAATACTTTGTCCATTTTATTGTTTAATCCTAGGCAGACTTGACGAAACCAAAATTCGGACAGAATACTCATCATTATACAAAGTTATATAACTGAAAAATCTGCGTTTGTACAGACGTTTAGCTTTATTATCAAAGGTATTAACGAGTTTCTTTAAACTTTTCGAATATCGTTGAATATTCTATAATATCTACTATACGCTATTTTCTTCATTCTTTTTGTACTGTGAAGTTTTTACTTTCTTGATAAAATCCTCAGAAAAGGAAGTACTTTATCGTTACATCTACTGGTAGCAGTTTATTATATCACATAAAAGTGTTCATTTATGTACTAATAATGTCTGACATAAAAAATCTAAAATGCGTAAATGTATTTTGTATTATGAGAAAAGGGGCTTTAACATTTTACAGTCAGTTTATGGATTGAGTACAGAAACAACGAAGCCCACCGCAATTTAATCATTCGTCGATGGGACGATACTCGATACGCTGCCGACTAAAAAATCTAACTAATTTGTATATTTTGTATAGTACTCGAGCCAATCGATGAAAGTTAAAGGAGATTGTTTGGAGCGAACGGATTATTGCATATCGAACGTAAGAGCTGGAGTAGTTGGAATTTCGTCCCAATGCGAAGTCCACGTCTGATCCGAGTTTTTGCGACTCTTGGTGGCTCGACGAAACTTCATTGCACTTTCAACCCGTTTGCAATTATTAAAAGACCTCATTGGCTCGACAATCGTGTATAATCTAATTAATCGTTCTAGCCTCTCCAACTACTTGGACGACTTTTCATTTCAAACAACTTGTCCGAGAATTTTGCACATTCCTAGTGTAAATAAGGAAATTCGGCACGAGCAAAAAGTACGAGCTTAAGACAAATACAATCTTGAAATTACCAATTTTTTTCGACAATCGTATAGATCTACGTAGACCGCCAATTACAAAAAGCTACGTAAACGCCAGGGAAACGTTAAAAATGTAAGAATTACTTAATTGCGGAGACCAAATAATTATGGAGATGTGTAACTTAATTTACAATTTACGCGAGCATTAAACATCTAGATGAGCATCGATAAAAAAAAAAACAGATAAAAAAATAATAATACGAGAGAATTGAGAAGCGAATAGTAATAATTCGAAAGGGAGAAAGGACAAAAATGTTATTCAAAACCCTTCCAGTAAATTGCATTATTGTTACGCATAGAAGTTACACGAGAGAGATCCTGACATTTTAATATAGTTAAAACAAAAAAAAAACAAAAAAAAAACCAAAAAAAAACAAAACAAAACAAAAATGAATATACGTCACAGGGCATAAAGTAAAGAGCACACATACCAACAGTTAATAAACACGAAAATTTCGAGGAATAATATTTGTTAATTAGTAAGGAATGCATTTACACAGTGACGGTCCGTTGTCTCAGCAATCCAACGTCCCGCATAACACACAAAGATTATTCCATTCATCGTATTTATCCGTCGCTCCAGTGCAACGCGATAATATCCCATCGGGCTTGGAAAAAGAAAACGAGGATGAAGAAAAATAAGGGAGAAAAAAGAAGGAAAGGAAGCAGGAGGCTGAATAAAGCCCTTCAAAGCTCGTCCATGGCCACAGACGAGCGAGTCGCGTGTTTTCCTTTTCCCAAGCGGATGATTTCGATACAGTATTGCTCCTTCGCCGTATTCTTCTTTTTTCTCCCTTGGACAGATGTCGAGTGGCTCTCTTGCGCCCCCTCCTCGACCCAGATAACATTACGTTAAGTTATGGCCCCGTGACACTTGGCGGTGACATGGTATCGCGCTCATTTTACATGCGTGCCAATCGTCATTTCGCCGTGGTCTTTCGCGATTACGGGCTACTTATGAACTCCGGCACGTGCCATTGATCGTCCTTAAAAGGGAACTTTCCTCGGAAATGTCGTCGGAAATGACGTTAAGGGATTTACTTTGTTTCGATCGACGACGCGCTGATCTAATTTTTTAATGCAACTCCATTTCCTGGCATTGCGTTTACTAGCTGATCGGAGGTTCGATTGAATTATCGGCTGCGGTGATTCAATATATTATACGGAGGGATGCATTTCGAAGGAAAATATCACCCTACGTCGCTTGAACATTGTCGTTAAACATTGAGCGACAAAATCTCACGAATAGCTGCTATTTTATTTGGATAATCGAGCCTTGATATCCATAATTTTAACTTTCTTGCTACTTTATTCGCTTATTTATCAAATGCTCGATTAAACTAGCCAATTAACGAATGAAAGAATAAATTTGGTATTCATTTATTTATATGTTTATTAATAAACCGCTGTCCTCTACCGTTCAAGTATGTTCACTGAAAAATTAATGTTATTGTTAAAAAAAATTTTTGCACCACAAGGAGGATATTTTTATCTCGTACATTCTGAGTCGCAATTGAAATACAGGGGATGCCTTAACTTAGAAAAATACTAAATCTCATTATATTCAGACTCTAAAAATATTTTCTCACAAAGTATCTCTCACTTTTGTTAAATGTTGCCGGAAAAAATAATTTGCAAAAATATTTTCAATTCGCGATACTTATTGAATTGCAAATATAAATAAATATAAATTTTTACTAAAATACTAATCACATTATCTTTGTATGCTGCTATAAAAAATAAAAATCAAATTACTCTGGAGAATGCTCTTTGATGTCTTCTCTATTTAATTTATCATCGTTTCTCTCGTAAAAATGTTGACCCTTAAATGAAGGCACTTGTGTATAAATTCCATTAACCATAATACTAGTACTCCTAATCATAAGCTTAATAAGATTTTCTTCTCAAGTACGATAAATATTATTGGGCTTAATTTACTGAAAACCTTATTATTACTGAACTAATAATATCTTGGGAAAGAAAAAACTACAAGAGAGTTGTGAATTGCTCGGCATGAAGAAGCGAAATTTCTTCTCCTAACTCGTTATGTATTCTTCACTGTAGTTAGCTATCTTTCTTTTCATTTCTTCTAAAAAAAAAAAAAAAAAAAAATGACGCTGACAAATTGGGAAAATTTCACTGTAACTAAATTCAATATTAAATAAGTTATTTATCTTGAATTCTTTTGGCATAAAACAGTTGATATAAATGACTTTTAATCCAGTCTTTTCGTATAATTGTGATAAATTATTCACAATTTTAATTGGCATGATGATTATTGATTGTGATGTTAATAAAAACTTTTATCGCATATATTTGATTGATTGCAACGACAATTTTCATTCTAATATTTATACATGTATATATGTAGAGAGAGAGAGAGAGAGAGAGAGAGAGAGAATCTTGTTAAAATATATTGTAAATTATTGAGTGTTTTAATGTTGTATGAGCTAATAATGAGAAAGAAACGAGAGAGAATTATAGGCTAATCTTTAAATGCGTGTAATTAATGAATTTGATGTATTATGCCAATAGAATTACTGGTGAAGCAAGCATTGATAGCAAAACGCATTTATAAAATTCTGTTGATTACGATTTCATGGAAATCCGATTTGAAATAATTGTTTTCCGTGGTCGAATAGTGATCGCATTATGCACACACATTATCTAAATGTACACTGATTATCTAAACACAACTTATTGTGCCTTGACATTTGAATTGTCCAATTTAATTGATTATTAATATTCTTCAAAGCCATTAAAAATATATTGTAATTAAAGATATATTACAATAGAAATTATAATTTCAAAAGGGCTGAATACGCAATCGTTAAATTACAGACAATGGTGAATATATACGAATACGAGGAGTAAAATTACAATTCTCTTACTATTTTACACCTTTTTCATGTTTAAATTTTAAATGCAAAACGTTTTATCGGTAAAACGAACTATTTTATGACTCTCAAAAATATAATAAAGTAATACAAGATCTCAAGAATTGAAGTAACAATTCTTAAAATATATGTGCTCATACGAATGTATGTACATATTTGTAAGAAAATATACGTCGTCTTTATCTATTTATGTACAACACAACTTATAAACTACTTCAGAAATCTCTGCTAAACTTTACATGAAAAACTTGTGCTCTCTTGTGCATTTTAGTTTTACAGTCATTTTTTAGAGTATTAATATTTTTAAGTTTTACTTCATGTTATAATAATTTTCACCAAATAGTTTATTTTACAAAATAATATACCGTAGATGAAGAGAAAAAACATATATATATATATATATATATATGTGTGTGTGTGTGTGTGATCAATACTTAATAGTAATAGAGTCTCAAACATTTCCATACATTTAAAAAATAGATTTATTTAATAATTTTATTATACATTAAAAGTAAATTTCAAATCCACATAAGATAACTCAAGCTTTATCTTTTAAATACAGAGTAAGCAAATAATTTCTCAAGTGCTGCCTTTTGTATGCACCGGGAAGGTATAAAAGTATTAAATCGTCGATTTTTAAATCTTATGCAACGTGTCCTAAATCACACTCGAGCACGTGATTTATAAATATCTTTATTCTTGATTTGCATAAAAATCTAAAAATACTCGAATATTTATTCTGTTTATCAATTTAAGCGTCCGGAATAAATTGCGCCTGAAGCAGAGGGACCATTTTTATTTGTGCAATGTCGCCGAGTATCCCGAGAAGTTGCCTATCCCCTCTCCCCTACCGCTACCCGCTCATCCACACAGTCACGCCATCGCATCTCGCCTCTTAGCGCCGTAAGTAACGCCCCCCCCCCCGCACAATGGCTAGACTCCCATCACAGTTTACTTAGGCGCTCGCTCGACAGTCTCCTACAAATGTCGCAGAATTTCCATGTAAGACTGTCCATTAAAAAGGAGTCACGACTTATCGTCATCCACTCCCATCCAAATCATTACCTCGGACTTTAGCTTTGATCGCGCCCCGTCTCTCGAACGACCCCGTTCAACCCTATCGGGAACAAATATTAAATTGAGACATGGGAAAAGGAGTGAGACGATCGCTGCCAGGCCGAGTAAGCCCTTAGACACGACCCAAGGTCACTCGGGACATCTTCCTTGTGTCAATACGAGGAAGGCAAAATCCGAGGACGTGCCAAAACTACTGCCACTCTCGCGTCTCTCTCGCTCCTCAACGTTAATGAAGCGTTGAATCCAGCCAATAACCGCGCGCTTCTTCTCACCTCCGTATCCCAGGATTATTTTCCCGGCGCACATCGGATATGTTGAATGTCGCGCGATCTCCGTCCGAGTGCAAAAGAAGCGAGAGAACGCACATCGACGGGCCGGCCATCTTCCATTCCTTATACACCTCCCTCCCTCCCGCCCCCCACCCAACCACAACCCACCCCACCCCCACCTCTCCCCCATGTCTCTTGCCGTTCCTTTATTTTTCGCTGTCGACTCGTGCTCGCTTTTTTCGGTCGGCTCGTTATTTGCATTTCCAGGGCACAGACACGCGCGCGCGCTAGAAAGCACGAAAAAAAGTAGGCGTGGCCTGCATGCATTACTTTTTCTTCTTATCCTCTCAGTTTCGGCACACGACGAAGCTTCTTCTGAGTGCTCGTATCGTTATAATACGCTGCCGAATTTACCTCAACTCGGGAAATTATTATTTTCTCGCCGACCGAACGGGCGGAACGTTTGCAGCTGCGATTCATAAACACGGCTTTGTCTTTCGATCTTAGTTCCCCGGTATTCGCTCGAATTTGGAGCGTCGATATGCCACACGAGGCCCCTCCTTTATAAAACGCAATTTTCCTCGAGCGATATCCCCCCTCCCCCTCCCCCAACCCCATCCCCTCCAGCCCCGTCCCCTCCAGCCCCATTCTCTCCCGCCACTCTCTCACCACGCTTTACTCAATATTATATGAATTGTCAGATAGCTGTTCGACGAGTAATTCAAGCTCCGCGTCCCTCGTTTATACTTCCGCGACATCCTCTCGCTTACACAGCGAGCCTTAGCTCGAGTTCCGTTAAAAAAGGATCCCTCAAAAAGGATTACGTCGCTAAGGATTACCATCGCGGTGCTCAGGGTAAGTGATATAAGGCGCGAGATGTACAGATCATTGTTGCTTTATTTTGCAGATACCGCAGATAAGTTACGCGTCGACGAGCACCGAACTGTCGGACAAGAGCCGCTTCGAGTACTTCAGCCGGGTCGTGCCACCCGACAATTTCCAAGCCCAGGCCATGGTCGAAGTGATCCATCGGCTCGGCTGGAAGTACGTCTCGACGGTCGCGGTCGAGGGCGACTACGGCGAGAAGGTAAGCGAAATGGCAGTCACAGTATATCAGTCGTTGCCGAGTATCAGGGCTTCCAAGTTACTTGCGTCTCTCCCGAGGCTCGAGGCCTCTTTTAGCACCGGGGAAGCCGAAGACTGAAGGAGGATCCCCGGCTAGTGGCTCTTGACTTTCCCTTTCTCTCCGATCCGCGACTAATCGGCGACAAATGCTCGCGGCATGTGCTGACAAGCGGAATTAAAAATGCGCTTTACCATTCATTATTAACATCGTTTTCCTTGTCATCGTTCTCCCCTCTCCCCTCCACCTTCTCCCCACGTCCCACAACCATCAACCAACCAACCAACCAACCACCCACCCTCCCTCCTCCTCGTACTCCTCGTTATTTTTTGTTTGCTCCACTTACCTACATCTTTCTCTCTCTCTCTCTCTCACTCTCACCCTCTCTCTCTCTCTCTCTCTCTCTCTCTCTCTCTCTCCCTCTCTCCCTGTCTTTCTCGCGCGCGCTTACAAATTGTTTAACTTGAGAGCGTAATTTTTGGTCAGTAACTTCACGTTTGTGAAAGGGCGACTTGCCGAGCTTAATGTTTGGGCTTGCGAAAAAACTTTTAATTGTCTCTAAGCTCATTTTGCTCCCGGAAAAATTAAGCCTTTGGCCTCAAAGCAAGAGAAACGTGCGCACATGTCGATGTATACAGGTATATATCAATATATATATCTTGAAAAACTGCCGTGCGCATTTCATTTTATTTTCCACTTTCTTCTCTACATTTTCTCCCACTTGAATCAAGGACTTATAAACTATAACTAAAGGAACTACGGCTAATTTAACATATTTTCTCTTAATACCTCCTGCATCTTAAGCATAAAAATTTTTTGTTGAGATTGTTGTGCTATCATGTTGTAAAATTCATGTCCTGTGCATACGTAAAGTGGATAAGGCGAGACAGAGAGAGAGAGAGAGAGAGAGAGAGAGAGAGAGAGAGAGGAAAAGAGAAAAAATGGTTCAATTTTCATGCGCTCCATAAAGCTAAATTGTATGTTTATGTTACCTACTTGAAATCGATCCTCCCTAGATAGAATAGACTAATGCCAATATTTTCTCCGATCATGATAAACATCATTTTTCCAATGCACTTTCTGATAGAACTTTCAATTTGCTCGGCCATTTTTATTTAATGCTTTCAGCCCCCTCTAATCATTGTCTCTTTCCACGCTTCTTCCTACTCCTCGACGAAGAAGACGCTCGCCCTTCCTTTTATTATTGCTAACGTAATCGTGATCCCTCCGCCACTCTATTCACTCTGTTTGCATATTCGCTTTGATTGACAATTTGCCAAGAAGCATTAATAAATAAATACTATCACGACGCGATACCCTGAGCTTGCACTTCCATACACGTTTCGAGCGCAGCTTGAGCCCACACAACTATTGACCGTTGCATCCAGAATATTGCTATAATCCATCAAGAACTCGATGGAAATAACCTCAAAATTATCTCCCTCCCTCCCTCTCTCTCACTCACTCACTTTGTTCTTTCTTCATTTAAAGGCTGACTTCGATTATTCTTGCAATAGGTCTCTCATATCAATATCGAATATCAGCCGCCTCACGTATGCCCATCTCTGTCTCTTAAAATCGCAATCGACGTTTCATTAGCTTCCACGTCGTTTATCAAGAATATCTTTCGCCTCGGCAGTGACGGTCAATGGAATCTTCAAATACGGCAACCCAAGCACGTATTTATTCGCGGTAAAAATAGGGAAAAAAACAATTCCGCATTTATTCCAATAGAAACTACTCGAATAAGTATCAGCTCAGACGAAAATTTTAGAAACCTACACTAATGTTAGTTTTATTTATTTATTTATTTTTTTTTTTTTTTTTTTTTTTTTTTTTTTTTTTTTTTTTTCAAAAGGAAAGAAAGGGGGAACCCCA